AGGACGACTCTTAATCTTTAATGAGTTTAAAGCATCTCGGATGCGGGATGTTTGATAGGAAACATGCCTAAAGAACTCACATATGCCTGGATGGAGATTTGGCCGTCTCCTATGGTGTCTTATGGAAAGATACCTAGAGCCCTAGCAGAAACCAGGACATGCACATGGTCATATATGTGCAAGGCTAAGGCAAAGGCAAGTGTGGTTCAAAATAAAAACTACCACAGATAAGTTTGATCTTGTGTGATCGCTAAATTTTAGTCATGTGCTGGTTCAAGTCTCTACGACACCATGCATCTATCTTTTATTCAATTGGTCTAAGGGGGATTCAAGTCCTTACAACATCTACCTTATGCACAACGATTGAAACAGCGGCACCGTTACACGACACTAGTTTAAAAACTTATGGGGGATTATTGGATTTTTTGGTCAAAACTGCTTTCCAAAAATGAGTTTTCAAACTATGTATTTATTAATTACTGGTATTTTTTTGAAATCCTTAGTAGCGTAGCGGAAAGTTAAATTTTTAGTATTTTAAAAGGTCCTGTGTTTAAGGCTTGCCAACGACAAGCCAAGAATTGTTTTTATTCAATTAATTCTTCATAAGTTCTAGTGGGTCATGGGTCGTGGGCTCCGGGCTGTGGGCTCGTGGGATATGGGCTCGTGGGATGTGGGCTCGTGGGTCGTGGGTTGTAGGCCAATGAGTCGGGGATCGGGGCTAATCGGGTTGAGACGTTAAGTGACGTTTTGTAAGGCGTATTTTGCACTTTGCAAGGAGGCATCGGGGCTAGGTGGCGTCCTTTGGCTCTACGACAGCTGCCTCGTAGCAAGGGAACGTGACCCTCGCGTTCGCACGAGGGTGGGTCACGTTCGCACGAGGGTACGACCTTCACGTTCGCGAGAAGGAACGCGACCCTAGTGTTCGCGAAGCTAGACGCGACCCTCGCGTTCAGACGTTTCTACATGCAGCAATTAAAACTACATGTAGTAGTTACAGCAATTAAGTCATTTGCTGTTATAATTATAATTGTCATTATGATTTGTAACAGTCAAATGACCCTTGAGCTGGCTTTAGAGGTCAATAAATAGAGCCCCTTAGGGCAGCTCTCATATATACAAAAAAATACATTGAAGTGTTTAAGCTGTTGTGTTGCTGCTGCAGAGTTTGTAAGCGTGCAAGCTTTAATTTGTGCCCAAAGGAACAGAACCCTGAACTGAAAGGTTATTACCGATCAAAAGATCTTTGTTTTAACCGAAAGGTTTTTGAACCGAAATGTTTTAACAGATCAAGGAGATCTTTGCCTGAACTGAAAGGTAAAGCGAAAAGTTTTAACCAAAAGGTTTAACAGATTGAGGAGATCTTTGCATTGACCGAAATGTCTTACAGATTAAGGAGATCTTGACAGTACATGGTCGGTGCACACCAATGTATTGTACTATTGTTCCTGAAAGCAGTTTGGCCTTGAGATCCTTGCATCGGAGTAGGCCAAATATTATTGTTTTAAGCACAGCATTTCATAAACACACACTAGCTAAACTTTAAAAAATTAAAATATAGTACTTCAACTCTCTAACATATTTATCTGTTTTATTCCAGATTTAAGCACATGCGTCAACATATTCTTATGTAACTTATTAGTGGGAGTACCTAACATCACATTCGTCCTCACTTGTAGGTATTTTCTACAAACTCACGTTAGATCTTGCTAAGGGCTTGTTTGTTTCGGCCAAAAAATGCAAAAAATGAAGGAAAATGGCCTTTGGGAAAACTGACGCAGGGTGAATTTGTTACTTCCCCTCACAATCGGAGCCTTTGGGAAAACTGACGCAGGGTGAATTTGTTACTTCCCCTCACAATCGGATGTTTGCTTCGTAAAAAAGAAAAAAGAAAGTAAAGAAAAGAGCGGTTTGTTACTTCCCCTCACAATCGGATGTTTGCTTCGTAAAAAAGAAAAAAGAAAGTAAAGAAAAGAGCGGACAATCTGACAGCTTTTTCTCCCAACCATTTTCCGCTCAAAAACCGCTGATTACAGTGGAAAACTCCTCTTTTCTCTCCCTCGTACAAAAATCGCCGATTGTTCTTCCCCTTCCATTCTCGTTCTGGTTACCCCTCTCTCCTGCTCCCGCCCCTCTCTCCCGCTCCCGCCCTTCTCTCCCTCCCGCCCGAATCAACCAAGAATTTCGACCTCCTCCTTCCCTCCCGCCTTCCAATCTAGGGCTCAGCCTATTCTCCCGCTGCGGCCTCCCGTCCACCCACTCCCTCTTCGGCGTCGACATCGCTGTCCTCGCCGACGACGCCCTGCTCCCCCTTGCCCTCCACCACCACACCTCCTACCCCCGAGTCGTCCACCTTTTAGGTCTGTTTGGATCGCATTTGCGCTGTCTGACACCGATTAAAACCCTAGCCTTCGAACAAAAGGGAAAACACGACAAGATCTTGGTTGATTTATGGAGGTACAATGCTAAAAATCAATTCTTTTGTATTTATTTAATTTTTTTATGGATTTCATTTATCGATTTCCTTCTTCCTTTGACGTCAGGTTTAAAATTTGCAGCAAATGTTCAGTTGTGTTGCTTGGGAAATTGATTGAAATGGTTGATATGTAATTGGGAATTTGCAACCAATGTTCAGCATGCTGGTTTCAGCCTTGCTCTCGGCCTTGATTTCAGCTATTGAACTGTTTGAATACAGTTGAGTGCGTGCCTTATTCATTTCCAGCAAATGTTTTGTTTTGTTGGCTATTGGGCTGGTTTCAATTGTTTGCTTGGCATTTGGTTTGAATTGTTGGGTTCGCCCCAAGTTTCATATGTGTGCTTGCATGTGGTTTCCGTTGTGTGCTTAATTTCTTTTGGTACCGGTTTTGTTCCAACTTGTTTGAATTTCCGGTATATGTTTTGTTGCTTAGTGTGTTGGTGCATACTTGGTTTCCAGGATGCGTTTGCCAGCTGATACTCTGTAGTATTGGCCCTTGGACTTCAGTTCTGTGCTTACTTGTCTTAATTTTTAGCAATATTTTGGTTGTGTGCAGCCAATGAATCAGTTGTGATGTGTTGGTCAGCTATGTGACAGTTTGGCAAGCTTTATACCAATGCGTTTTACCCCATCAGCAGGATTATGTGACAGTTCTTTGTTGGTCTTGTTGCAGAACTTTGTGAATGTGTTTTACCCCATCAGTTGTGTGCTTGCCAAGTTGTGTTTCCAGCCAATGTTGGTCTCGGCCTTGCGTTCAGCCTTGGTTTGGTTTCCTTTGTGCTGACTATTTGTGCATTACATGCTGGTTTCAGCCTTGGTCTTGGCCTTGCGTTCAGCCAAGTGTGTTTCCAGCCATTGTTGGTCTTTGGTCTTGTTGCAGTTATTTGGTTTCATGTTGATGCTTGGCCTTTGTTTTAATTTTTTGCATGGTTTCAACCTGCTCTCGGCCTTGGTTTCAGCTCTTGGTTGGCCTTTGGTTGGTATGCATATTTTGTGTTATGATGATGAGTTATTTTTTAGATATGCAGCCAAAGTTTATAGCAGCAATATATTGGCGAGGCAATATATTGCAGCCAACATTGCTATTTATAAACTTCATGGCGAGGTAGATAATGAAAAAAGAGCCTTTTCTGAGCACAAAATATATTGCAGCCAACATTGCTTTGGGTTCAGTTTTGTGCTAATCTGTTATTCATCATTTGATTCAATTGTGATCATAAGATAATTGATTTTGTTCACAATTTCCATGTTTATATGCACAACTATGATGATGGGTGGTAATCTTACTATGGTGACCACAATCAAGTTTTCTTGATTTTTTAGTTTGAACCAAACACTAGAAAATGAGGGAATCTATTCACAATTCAATTATTTTCTTCTTTTTTCAAGTTGAACCAAACTAAGAAAAATGGTGGAAAGTACTTTCACTCCATATTTTTTGGCGAAACAAACACAAGAAACATTTTTCAGGAAAGTGAAGGAAACACTAGAAAGTGAAGGAAACGAACCAAACAGGCCCTAACACATCAACAACATGAAGGACATTCAATCAATAAAAAAGTAGTGGAATTATAACTTTGTTCTGCCCCGTTACTAGCATGCAGCAGGATTTAACGACATCTCAACTAAAAGACTAATGATGAAGGTGACGTCGCAAACCCCAACAGGTAAGTTTCATGCATAAAGAACTTAGATGATATTTAAGCAATACACGAGGACGTACATTAAAAATTTGTCATGTGATTATAGTCTTAAATTAGAACTCTCTAACCATTAGACCAAAGTTTCGAAGATATGGTAAGAATGGAGGATAATTATTTTATATTAATTCTAGCATGCCACCCAACCCACGCCGCAATAAATTTTTTTATAATCCACATTAAATTTGTGGCCAGCAGGATTCGAAACTGGATTACTTTGACACAATCTTAAATTAAGTCTCTTTAAATATTACATCAAAACTCTGTACTTATGGTAAAGATGAAGGATTATGGTTTTATATTAATTCTAACATATATTTGGTAATCTCTCTCTCCAATTATAGAAACATCTTTTCTTAATGCAAAGGGGGAAAACATCAATTGAGTTTAGTCTAGAAAATGCGAAGGCAGTCACTACGATCAAGGGGGAGACTCATCATCCTTTATCCGCGCAAAGATTATACTTGATGAGTAAGTTCATCTATTCCTTCTCATGAATGGTATAAGACATTTCTTTCCTTTAAATAAAGCTTCAAACGGTAACAAAAAGAATAAGCTTGTTCTGATCATGGAGAGAAAAAAAAAAAAGCTTGTTAAACCATGTAATTTGGAGGTACAATCTTTGAACGTGACTTTCTGGAGTACATATTTCAAATACGAAAGTTCGAGGTGTATTATGCAAATGTCCCCTGATATTTTGGATGCAAAAGTTTTGTTTCATTCCCACTTTATTCCGAACCCGAACCCGTTCAGGCTTCTTCAGTAAAGCAATCGTCAAAAAAGTCCACGCAGATACTAAATGCTAATTAATCAGATAACTAATTTGATTTTAATTAAGGTTTGAGCCTTCAACAAATTCTACCCGAATCCAAATTCCCATCACCTACCTCTATTTATACTCCAATTACATACTCCCTTTTACTTATTCGTCCCTCCCGATTTCCTCTTCCTCATCCCTCAAGTAAGCGATCAAAACCCTTCGTCTCCTTTATCATGCAATCGATTTTCTGTTTAATTTTGATCTTAATTCTAATTAAAGGTTGGTTTCGTCTTTAGGGCTTATATTTCTGTGTATTTAGTATTGTTTGCTTGGTTATTTTTTGGTTGATAGAAACAAAAGATGAAGATATGTGTGTTGGTTTCTCTGGGAGTGATGTGGTTTGATCGAGATTAATTTTTTTTTCTTTTTAAAGAATAGTTGCAAGTTGAGGAATATTTTTCTATGTTGTCAAGGGACGAATTTTGTTTCATTTAATCTCAGTCTGTTATTATTTTACAATTGAAAAGATACGATTCGCTGTGACTTGTTGAGACTTCAGCAGGTCGACTGTGATCAAATTGTATGTATTAGTCAGGATTCGGAAGTTTTTAAGAGACCAATCAGTAGCAAGTTTTGTTTATTTGTGTATCATTTATAATTGAGAGGTTTATGTTAGCCAAGTTATTTTATTTGCTGAAGAGAACTCAAAGAATTGTATTAAAAATCCTACCTGCCTTTAACCAATATAAGATTAATTAGTATGACTTATTATTTGCTTTTCTAATTTGCAATGAAAATAGTTACAAACCAAATTCATTTTCTAAAAAATAGGAACTTTAGAAAAAAATTTATTATGTCGCTTCATTTAGCTTTTCCTTAAAAGTTAAAATTGAACTTAATTTGACTAATAAAAGTTATTTTGGACTTTTAAAAGCTGAATTAGGAGAGATTAGTGGTGTCTAATGACTATTTCATAGTTCTAATTTGTGTGAATACCTATTACACTTCCAGATATTTTTTCCTTCACCTGATGGCATGGTGATATTTATTATGATATGTTCTCTCTAAGATGCTAAATATGTTGGCAATGAGCTGAATAATGTGTTTGGTTAAAGATAGAAGGCGATAGATTGGTGGGATTAAGCCATTGGTGAATATCGAAGAAGTTACATTGTTGAATAATTTTAGTTTGAACTATTGAGGTGGTTTCTCAATACACTCCTCTTTTTGTTAAGTACATTCCAATTTTGACGACTCACCTTGGATTATACTGACTAAAAAACGGCTAACATGTCTTTGGTCATAGTCTAGATTTTGGCTTGGAGCCATATATGTGGAGTATACCTTGGTACAACTTGAAAAACTCCATCTTGTTAAGTTTGATTGTTTTCACATTGTGGCCGTGGTAACTGAATCTTATCCAAATATATATGCACTATATGTAAAAGCAATAATCAGTAAGGTGCTAAAAAGGATTGCATCTCTCAGTTTCGCCCCAGGTGGAATTTAGATTAGTTACTACTGGAAAATTTTTAGAAAGATTAGATTAATGTAAGGGTATTTTTGTAATAATATGCGCTATTCGTTCTAATTCAACCATGTTTTTTATGACTAAGCATTTGAATTACTATTAGTTTTATTATAATTCATAAGAATCATAACTTAATAAATTTTCAGATAAAAATATCATAATTAATGTAATCAAGCATTAGTTTAATTTTAACTTCCTAGATTTTTTTAATTATAAACTGAATCATGCATTTTATCATAAATTCTCTATCACACTATACTTAAGACTTTGATAAAGATTAATTATTAATTTAGCCTAAACTCACTATGTTGCTTCCTTAGAAATAAAACCAAAAACTTTAAAGTATATAATCTTAAATAATCATAATCATAATCATTTAATATTAGAAAATATTAATAGAATAATCTTTCTTCTTAGGCGTGTATAGCACTTGAGGAAAACTAATATAAAGTGAATTTATGGATTCTAATCTTGGACCAACGCACAACAAATTTGATATAAATTATGTATCATCTGGTACATCTATGCAGTTTATAAGATTTCTGAGCATTTTTTCTTGGTGTACTTGAATGAAAGATGACCATCATGAGAAGCTTCCATCTTGTGTGTCTCAATCTTGTGTCTCAAATAATTTTTTCTTTAGTTATTCTGTGGTTTTGTATCACGCTAGGTTGTTTGGTTATTTCGTTTCTTTGTCCATGCATCTATTCTTAGTGTTAGGTAAGACTAATTTGAAGGAAATAAGTATATGTTAAATCAGCTTGAATGTTTGAGCACGATCAGAATTTCATCAAGGTTTATATGGTTAATTACTAACCTTAGTTGCCATTAATTATTCTAGTAGAACATGATATTTTCCATTTCTTGAGATATTTTCTAAGGACTCATGCATATATATGATCAGCTGTAGCCATTGAAAATTTATATGAAGAGTTTTGGCGTCTTTTTTCTAGTTATCACTACTTAATCTGATGTATATATCAAATAACAGCTTACCTAATGTATTTAATTGAAAATTTTGTATGCTTATATGCATGAATTTTTTTTGAAATGATCATCTAAAAGCCGAAATAATTGACTCTGATTTCAACAATTTCTACACAATAATGGTAACAATAAAGGTGTTGTTGCAAGTAATTCGCATTCAATCGAGAGGAATAAAAGTTAGTCATTGCAGAAGATACACTCTTTATAAGTTGATAGAAAGCTTTTGAATGAGTATATTTCTGCTGAGGATTAAATGAACTGAGGTCAATTAGTTGTTACATTCAAATTCAATAGTAGATATTGTAAAATGATCAAATTAATTTTGGTCAATGGTTAATATGGAGGACATGCATATCTTGATCCAAAATTAACTTGGACTTCTTTGTTATTGTTTATCAATGGTTAATATGGAGGACATGCATATCTTGATCCAAAATTAACTTGGACTTCTTTGTTATTGTTTATTTATCTATATATGCTCCAATTGTTCTTTTTTATACGTTAGTAGAAAGTTTTTATGAACTTTTGTTGTGGACATTTAGTGAAAGTTACAGCTGATAGCAAGCCAATTCAACATAAATGAACCTAATCTTTTTTCTTTTCCTTTTTTTCTTTTTCTTTTTCCTTTGCAGCCTGTTGATTTTTACTGAATGATGGGTGGAGGCATGCTAGATGATTGGGAATTGACTCCTTCGACAAACATTGTTTTGCTTGGGAAAGCTGGTAATGGTAAAAGTGCAACTGGGAACAGTATTCTTGGTAGGGAGGCATTTGTATCAGATTTCAGTCTGTCGGGCATAACAAGTACTTGTGAGCTGCAAAGTACCATTTTAAAAGATGGGCGCATTATTAATGTTATTGACACTCCAGGTTAACTAATATGCACTTATACTTTATAAACTTTGTCAATATATTATTTCCATTTGTACACTTATGTTATTTTATTATAATTCATGCTAAAATAGAAGAAAAGATTCCAGTAGAACATATAATGTATAAGCATACAAAAACAAATCTCAGCACAACATATAGGATCAGAAAAGGTCTTCAAATGACAAAAGAAGATTTGTTGAGCAACAGATGAATACTATTTTTGATAATTTAAGTTTGCTTATCTTTCTATTTGAGGAATTTTTCCATAGTATTAGGCATTTTATTCTTAATATTGTAAAGATTTTAATTGATTTCAACTTCAGAATTATCTCACTATTTCAATTTATGATCTTTTCTGATAATTTGATTTTATTTTGGGTAAATATTTTCTGATACTTTGTTAACTTATAAATATATTTGATTTTAGGACTATTTGACTTCTCTCCTGGGTCTGAGTCCGCTGGTAAAGAGATAGTCAACTGCATAAACTTGGCCAAGGAAGGGATTCATGCTGTACTTATGGTTTTTTCTGTTGCGTCTCGATTTACTAGAGACGAAGTGGCTGCAATTCAAAGTATGAAATCATTTTTTGGTGACAGAATTGTGGACTACATGATTGTAGTGTTTACTGGTGGAGATTTTCTTGAAGCTAAAGGGAAGACTTTGAAGGATTTTATTAGCCGTGGATGTCCTGAGCCTGTGAAGGTTTGAAATTATTTACTTTTAGTTAACTAATTTGTTTATTTGATTTCTTGAGCGGCAATTTTTAGTGTATACATATTTTTAGCGCAAAGTCATAATGAACTTTAGGTTTACTTACCGACCATTTGACTATTTTGACATTTCCAAGGTTTTTTTTGTTGGTTTACAAAATTAATGCATGGATTCATTTATGTACCTAAATATTGGGATTGTAAGTAGATTGGTCTTAAAGAACATGAAAATGCGAGTAGCATTTATCTGAGTTAAACAAATTTTTTATTGTAAGTAGATTGGTCTTAAAGAACATGAAAATGCGAGTAGCATTTATCTGAGTTAAACAAATTTTTTATTATCATCACCATGATTTGCTTATACATGAAAATGCGAGTAGCATTTATCTGAGTTAAACAAATTTTTTATTATCATCACCATGATTTGCTTATATTTGAGGAAAATGGGATAAAAATATTGATTTAGATGAAATTTCTAGTTCATAATGATTTTACTAAATGTAAAATGAAAAGAACCACTTCGTATAAAAGGCACACTTATTACATTTCTATTTTTTGTTGCTTATACATTAAGATTTAAAATTTTGTAATTACATCTTTGATTGTAAGCCCTTTTCAATATCTAATTTGGTTTGTCCATTGTCTACTTAATGACATGTGTCATTAGGAATTAAACATCTTTATGAGTTCAACTATGCATGAAAGCATTAGATTACTGTTCATAACTTTTTGCTGATTCACTAAAAGTATTTTTGTATTTACATTTATCTTGCAGAATATTCTCCAATTGTGTAAAAACAGAGTGATGCTCTTTAATAATAGTACGCAGGACGTGGACAGACGAGCAATCCAGCTGAAACAACTACTTTCTCTAGTGGATCTGATTGCAGCAGGTAATGGTGGGAAGCCATTTTCTGATGACATTTTCGAACAACTTAAGGTAATGATTCACTTGACTCCTTGCTTTTAGTTTTAGAAGTCGAATTTTATCACATATACTTTAAACCACCTTTTAAAGTTTAATTAATACTTAATTAATTTTAAAAGGAGTTCTCATAGCAATCAACCAACTTAACCTAATTTCTTATGAATTTTTACTTGCAATCCTGATAGTACCCTTAAAAAAACACGTGCAAGCACAAAGTTTAGGTTCAGTTGGTTAAGAAGGCATGTCTCGTGCTTGAGAAACGTGTTTTCAGAAGGCATTTTGGAAATTTCAGTTAGAATTTCACTAAAAATAGGTCAAGGTGGATTGCTTGATATTGAAAATCCTCTTAAACGATTATCTTTTTGGTAATTGAACTTTAAATGAGGTCTTCATATTATCATCCTATTTAAAGGTTATTGAGTCCCTTGTGTTGGGAGATATGAGTGCTAATTTTTTGTTCTACTCCTTTAACAGAAAGGAGCTAAGAGCCTGGAGAATAAAGAGAAAGAGATTGATGCTATGAAAGGAATCCAAGGATACTCAGAGCGAGATATAGCTGAGTTGAAGGAGCAATTGCACAAATCTCATGAAGACCAGCTCAGACAAGTAGTTGAGACGGTACCTCCTTTATATTCATTGCTTTTGTCACATTGTCTACATAGTTGTGCTTTATTAATAAATTGTATATTTTCTCTAGTCAACCCTTGTCAACTTGTAAAGTTTATTTTCTCTATTCAAACCTTGTTAACCTGTGAATTCACACGTCTCGACTGCAGCAATCAAATGAATTCAAAGAATAGTTCTCTCAGAATTAATTACGGTATCACCCACTATACTACAAGGTGTAGGCAGGGATAGAAACGAATATGCTAAAGTGTTTGTATTTGTAGTTGTAGTTGTTTTTAAAATTTTGGAAGTCAAATCTAGTCTTAATATTCATTTCTGGAGGTTTTCAAAATTGAACTCGAGTACTCGGTATTTGATAAATATTCATGAACATTCACAAATATACATATCAAAGTTTATTCATTTTGCTAAATTATTTGATGTTCAACTAGTATTTAATTTCATAATTGAAAATTATTCCTTCGTAATTGTGATGTGTGTGTGTGTGTGTTTGAATATCTTGATAGAAAACTTATTGAAGATTCTTTAAGTCTCTCAAGATTAGTATATAGAACTTAAGTAGAAAGTGTAAGTGGGTTGAAAATATAACATCGTGTGTAATAATAAAAATTATAAATGATAAAAGTTTTAACGAATATTTGATAAGCAAATAAATTAAATATACATCTAGTTAAATTCTACTTGTTATGAATTCAAATATTAAAACTTATTTGTTTAGAGTTATTAAATATACATCTAGTTAAATTCTACTTGTTATGAATTCAAATATTAAAACTTATTTGTTTAGAGTTAAAATGAACAATCAAGTCGAATAAAAATGAATAATTTCTAGAACAAATAAGGAATTGTTTGTTAATTGTTTGGTTCATTTCCGCCCGCAGGTGTAGCCACTTACACCCCCTAAACTGTCTTATTATCACTTAAACCGCCTAAACTGACGTCTTATTAGCATTTGCACCCAAAGTCGCATGCTATTATATTCAGGCTAGGTTGAGATGTCATGTGTCATGTGGGAATCATGTTATGATACATTACTTTCTTGTCCTCAATTTAAGTTAATAAAAAACTAAATTGCTCTCTAAATTGAGGTAAAAAAAAATTCCCTTTTTTGGTTTCATGAATTGACTGCGATTTCTCATAGACATTCAGAACCAACAAGTAAATGCTTCTAGGTGAACCACAATCAACCTTATAACCCGATGACTAAAAGATCACAGAGTAGCACTCCTTACGCAAATAAATAGTTTTATAATGGATAATTTAGAATTCTAATGTTTCTTAATTTGTGACGACCCTGCAGATTGAGAGGAAGCTAGATGAAGCTATCAAGAAACTAGAGAAACAATTGGCTGAAGAGCAAGCAGCAAGACTTGAAGCAGAAAAAGTAGCAATAGAGGCGAGACAGAGATCAGAGCAAGAGATAACTAACCTGAGGGAGAGATCAGAGGAAAAGATCAATATCCTGCGGAAGAGCTCAGAGCAAGAGATCAATAATCTAAGGGAGCAACTGAGAAGGGCTCAGGAGGAGAGTCAGGAGTTTCGCAAGAAAGCCGAAGGCACCAAATGTAATATCCTTTAAATAACATAACATAGCAAATTATTAGAATAAAAACAGAGAGCAACGACAGACAAGGTTAAGTTTTTGTTTATGCTTTTGTGTGAAAAGTTAGTTGATATGAACCTCTATGTGAATTCGTAGTTTATATGTGAAACTAATTATAAAGTTTAGTAGCAAGCTTGTGATTGGTACGTGATCGCCTGTTTTGACTTGCCTGGTATTGAAATTTGGAGCTCTTGTGCTTCGTTTCCTCTTGACATATGAATCTCTTTTAATGCTAGTTGTTGAAGCGGATGTATGATGATGTAATTCTTTTTTGTTTCATGTCTAAGTTTGGAAAATTTCTGAGTACTTCATATTGATCTCTTGGATGTGGGAGATGGGGAATGTATAGTATATTCACATGCAAATAGCTTCTGCTAATGAACAATTCTTGCAGGGGAAGCATATCTTTCAAAGATGCTGGATTTGAGTATTTATGTTCTTTCATAATGTAGTTCGTGGTTTTGAACTTAGCACCCCTGGGGTTGAATCTTTTTGTCTAGTTTACCCTCAAATAGACTCGAAAAGGTTGAACAAAGAAAATTATAGGTGCATGTAATGCAATTCTAGTGATCTCAATCGTAATAGACTCGAAAAGGTTGAACAAAGAAAATTATAGGTGCATGTAATGCAATTCTAGTGATCTCAATCGTAACCCTATCATTTTCTATTAAAAATGGAGATTATAGGTGCATGTAATGCAATTCTAGTGATCTCAATCGTAACCCTATCATTTTCTATTAAAAATGGAGGAGCAAAATCTACTATATATTGGGGATAAAAGCTCGGTTCGCTCCAATTCCGTCCAGATCCTGACCCGGTTCAGATTCTACTCAGATATTAATTAGTAACGATCAACATTCAGATGTGTGTTTGAGCTCTCAAAGAGCTGTACGGACTCAAAATTGGAGCCATGCCTCTATTTATATTCCAACATCTTTTACCACATCATTTACACGTGTACAACTCATGCTATCTCTAGTATCATCCGCTTCACTTATTCCACTTCGACCGTGTATAGAAAGGGCTTGAGAACGTATTTTTGCACCCCCCTCTTCCTACGTGCACGGTTCATCTTTCACTTGTCTAATCACAATCTTTGTTTTCATCCCATATCTTATAAATACATGCATGGTTGATCTTTCATTTGTATAATCACAACCTTTGGTCTCAACCCATGTCTTAAAAAGTGCTACATAAAATGGTACGCATCACTCCTCATGAGCAGCCCATGAATCACATATCCATGCCTGCAGAGACAATTTGGCATTCACTCCTCTCTTTGGCATTTCTACACGGCGCTAGATGGTATATTTGCATAAACACTAAAACAGTGATAAACCAAAAGGGCATAAATCACTGCAGCCTTTCAACATAACAACATAGAAAAAGGCCACATACCAACGGACGTTGGCATATAACATAGACTGCGGTATTTCTTCTTTTCATGAGTATGTGCCGCCTCAATAAATCCATTAAAAAAAAGTGACGCGCTCATCTCACAAAAATTTAATTTGCCTTGGAAATTACATACAGATTTCTGAACTGTGGGTACGCTCAGCCTTGGGTGCACACATCTTTGTGAACCACACAGGCACAATGCGTCGAAATTAATTGTTATAAATTCATCGCTAAACCTCAAAACTTTTAGAAATATCAGGTAGAATCATGGGAAGACGAAAGATTGGAAGCAGAAGACAACCAAAGATTGATGTGCTTCAAGCTATACTGATAACCTCTTATGAAATTCTTCTAGAGAGATTGGGCAACCCACTTCCACGACATTTGAGGATGATGGTGTTTGTTGCTGGATCTGGTTCGAAAATAAAGGTTACTCCAAGAAAATCTCTGACATGTCTCAACGTCTCAATACCATACGGCGTAAGCTTCCCCACACGAACCTTGGAAAAATCCTCTGGGCATAAAGCACAAAGAAGAAATAACAATCCCTGCAAACAATAGGGTGTACAAATTAGCTTCACCAAGATAACAAACTTTCACTATTCATCATCACAAACAGTGTCATCCTTTTATGCATTTCTTGAATAATTCACTGAACGAGCTGCTAAATTCTGAAATAAGTTAAATAAGTGCGTTTAAATTCATAATGAAAGAACTGTAAAAAGAATCATATTCAAAATGCATGCTTGATGCTTCCGTCTAAATTTCACACTAATTTCACAAAACATAAACATGAATCAAAGCATGTAAGCTGGTAGAAATATCAGGATGCTAGTAACTATTCGGCGATTCTTTCAAATTTAGAAAATGAGAATTTAGGTTGTAACTTCTATACTTAATGCATGACTATAATTCATTTTCTTTTGGAATATAGTTTTAAAATACACTACACTTTTATCTCCCTAACTGTTAGGTGATATCACTTACAAGTAACAAAGTGCTTTCTCCAATGCGCATTTTAGGTGTTCTAAAGATCACCATGGGCCAAAAGTTCTAAGATTCCTCCAAAGTTTTGAACTATACACAAAGGTATAAGAAGTAACTATCACAATGCCTAAAATGTAAAAAAGTCATTTAGATTGATATGAATAGTATATGTTTCTGTTATGGTTGACGAATCTGATTTGCACCATCTCTCTGCTTGGTAAGCTATATTATACCATGAACATCAACAAAGTAGTCTGCCTATGGGGTAAAAACACTGTTACGAAGCTTTGACCATGTTGCACTGTTTCAATCATGGACTTCAATATTCCTCAGGAACAGGTTGAACATATCCAACCTTATAAGATAGTTTTAATTTCAAAATTTCTCAAACTCATTTTTCAGACCTTATGGGAGACGTTCTGTTCCAGCATATATGAAGATATTAGCTTTCCTTTTGACTTTCATATAAAAAAATGCAAAGAAAAAGATATCAGGGCAATGGTTTATAAACAGTATAAACTTATTGCTTTACTGGTAGAATATTGCGACTTGATCTCTTCGTCGATTGGTTAACATCACATCTCTGTCGACCTAGTATAAACTTATATTGCTAGAATATGTTTTAATAACAAAAAAAACACACATTTAAGGGAATCTAGACAGATGGAAAAAAGTGTAAATGTAAATATATAGCCATACACACATGTATGAAAAGCAAATCTTTTACCATGTAAAACATTCTGCCATCAAAATCCATTTTGCACTCACAATATCCCCAAAGAGTAAGAAAGTTTGAAAGATACATGTTCTCATTGATATTGAACTTGGTCAGAGAAATTAGCACTATTTATGTACCAGTCATATTTTGACATTAGTCTCTGGAAGTAGTCATATTTAGCGGTCTCTCGAATCGTTTAAATTGCACTAAATTAGTTTTGCTAGTTAAATTAAAAACTTGAAATTTAGGAAACTCAGTTATCTTAACAAATTTAATCATTCACTTATAGCTAATAGTTATAATCTAAACCATAACAAACCATATCAAGAAAGGAATTCCATATTGTAATCAGCAATAGGCTTCCCATGATGCAAGTTTCTCCTTACTAACTCTCCAACATAAACCATAACCATAACTAAATAATTTCAGGTTCTTAAGAACGGAGCTCACTATCAACTTTTACGACTTTTTACTAATGCGTTTTTTGTTTTTGACATCTCAACTTCCCAATGACTCCTCATCAAAATGCTACTTCCACAAAACAGTGATTTTGCCAAATATTCTAGTCAGTGTTCCAAATATTGGTATCCAAAATATTAGCATTCCAAATATTCAATGATGTATCCAACAATCCAAATTAAATAAGATGATACACCCTCTTGCATTACACCCATCGATACTCTCATACCTTTAGCTTAGTTATAACAAAAACTATGGTACTCTCATGCCTAAAACCTGCAGAATTGTAATGAAAGAGTTGCCCTTCTTCTAACACATTTCAAGTAATAACCAAAATTACATTATACTAATGAATACCTGATGTGTTGAATCGACTACCCCTCCCTGCTCAATCTCCCCAAGTAGAATAGAAGCAGCTTGAATTCCAACGTCCTCAGGAGGCAATAACTGTGGTTTCTCCTCGGAATCATCAAAAGTCTCCATTTCATCAACTTTTGGATAACAAATCACCACATCTGCTGAGATGAAACAGCCTGAATCCGTTTCAGCAACCAACGACAGACCATAACCTTTAGATCTGCAACACATCAATGTTAAAACCAAAACACGAATACATATTGATTCTAATCCTTAATAGGATGGAGTTTTCTAGGGAGGACCTAAATTATCCATATAATTGCATGTTAATCAAAGATTACCGCAACAACATTAGTTCTGCTGCAAGAATTGTATTAATACAAGCAACTGGAGTAGGTTCTTGAATCTGAGGATTCAAATAACAAACAAGCAGGAAGCTTTTCCAAATTTCCAGATAAAATGTTTCCCAGAACACATTAAGCACTACTCATCTAGCTCCTGTCTTGCGACTTACCTACGACCACGATAAAATCTAAAGTGCTTTTTAGTTAAAACTTCCAAAATGGTACTACCATCTTCCCAAGTTGTATATAAAGGAGGATGGCATATTGTGCTAACAAGAGGATAAAATAATTAAGGAAGGAAAAAAGAATGAATTGCAACCAAGACTAAGATGAACTAAAATGCATCACATTTATAGCATAGCATGAGCTATAGGATCAGTATCAATTATAGACATTACATCACGTAAGTGAAAGAAAAATGTGACTGTTAGGTCCCTCACTGCAGAAATATTTACCTTCCAGCATTTGGCTCAGACCTATGGTCCTTCTCTATCCGAACATCTGGAAGGAGACGATTAAAAACCCCACGTGTAGCATACATCATACGATGATCAAAATCGGCAGATACCTTAGTGGTGAATGTTACCCCTCTAATTCTCTTAACCCTTCCTTCATCTATCCAAGTAATCGCCTGCAGAAGACATTTGAGTTGCTTCATAATTAATGTGGAAAAGAGAACAAACAGAATATATATATGGCATATACAATAGAATAGGGTGACATACCGAGAAGCTAGGTAGACTAGGAACTCCTAGAAGAATCTCTCCACCCCCAAGAGGAGGAGAACCCCTACTTTCGATTTTCAACTGCAATCCTTCTTTAGGAACACCAAAACGCTCAAGAATATGGAATGTTGTATGACGATATGTATCAACACTAGGAT